ATCAGAAAATTTGGGATACTACCGAGGTACATGACATTACAGTACAAGTTCTCATATGTCCTGAGTCTTAATTGACCTTAGAAGGGTAGGGCCAAAATGTTGGCTTTCCTTGTGGCCCTCCTTTTTCTCTAATTTTGAACCAAAGAACTATCTTGAGAAGGTAGAGATGAAGCAGATTGGAAAATGCATTTTCCCCAGGTTCAAGAATCTGGGAATAGAATAATGTCTTGTTCCAGCAAATGTGTTCCTTTCAGGCACTTTCTTTATGAGGTGAAAGACAGAAAGGTAATTTGAAGGAACTGTAGATCTTGTTAGATCATTGTGGCCTCAATGTGCCTGTCTGGTGTAAACTTGGTCAAATGCTTGCAAGTTCATTGCATCTATCTTTCTGCCATTTTGTTAGATTCAACAAACATAGACATTGCCATAGAGAAAGATACAAATCCAACTCTTGATCCTTTCTTCCATTAGGCATTAAAGGCATAACTGTACTTTCTGCTGAGGCAGCCAGATACAAAAAGCTGGTATTCTTCAAACCAAGCAAAATCAAGCTAATCCAAGAAAAGCCAAGCCAAATCCAAACAAACCAAAGCAAACCAAACTGAAACAAAAACAAAACAAAAAATCAAAACAAAGAAAAATCAAAACAAAAAACTGACTTTTCATTTGGGCCTGTAGATAAGTATTAGATAACTATAATCAGATCAAACATTGACCTTGTTTTGCATATGTCTCCTCTATCAACTTAATACCCTCGCTCATATCCCTACTCAGATCCCCATATAGGCATGATTATCACTTAGGAAATATCTATCTAAAAGCTGCAACTCCAGCCTGAAGCCTGGCAACATTTATATATCTGCATTTTATATTCTGTAAACCTTGACCAGAGATGTTTTCTCAGATGCTCCTCTGATGACAGCTGCACGTGTGCTCTTCAAATGAACCCTCTAAACAGTCCTGCTTTACATTGTTCAGAACTGAAGGCCTTCTTCAGTCTTCCTACACTCAGGCACAATAAATTTTGTGTCTTGTTACCTTTACTCAAACCCGTGTCAATGGTCTCTGGTAGTTTTTTTCTCAGGCCATTCATTGCACTTAACAAACAAAGAACCTTTACTCTGACTTGCTCAGGGCTCGTGATCAGAGCCTTATCCCAATCCTCCGACTCACTTACCTGAGAGTTTTTGCTTGTTTTCTGGTGTGAAGACTCTGTATAAGGCTCTGATCTCCTTCACTTCCTTCTCCTGCAACAGCAAGTGAATAATCTTCTTGCCTAGAAAGCCTCCAGCTCCTGTTACCAGGCAGCTGTAACCAGCCATGACTAGTAGGGAATATGACAGAGAAAGATTGAATGAATGTGTGAGCACTTGCACAAGGTTGCACAGGACGGTATGAAAAGTACAGTGAAATACAGGTGTGATAAGAAGGAGACTGTAGAGAGGTATAAAAGAAAATACCAATGGGTATAGGCACAGGAAAATCCCATGTGACACAGAGTACACAGAAAGAGTTGCTTGCGCTCCAGGAAACTGTCTAACAAATAACTTGTGAACTCTGTCCTTTTGGTTTTTAAAGGAGACTGCATAGTAGCGACTGAAATAAGACTACTGAATAGAAACGGACCTAATGCTAATAAAATCAGTAGAAAATCAAAGGATAATCAGCATGCTCATGTTTTTAGAATTGTTTTCTTTAAATGGTGCAGAATCCCTGTGAAATGATAGCATTCTCATTTTTTAAGTTTTAGATTTTTATAGAGTAAAAAATTACGAATGATACAGAATTTGATTAAACAAACTGGTAGGAATTCAACTATGATTGTTATAATCCATATTGTTTTCAAAAGTTATGTTCTGTTTAGCAGATATAAACATGCAAGATTAGTTAAAATATTAAAAGAATAAAAAAGCATTAATTATACTTTTTTTTGAGCAGAATATATTTATTGAGAGGAAGAAAGCTCCTGTCCAAGAGAGTGACAGGAAGGGGATCCGAGTGGGTTGCCTCCTAATTATACTTTTCAATAGACCAGTGGTAATGAGCAGTAAAATTATCCAAGCTATCCTATGTGTGTGTGTGTATATATATATATATATATATATGTATATATATGTATTATTTCTCTCTTTTTTCCACTGTGGCTGGCTCAGCCTCTCCTGGTGGTGGGGCTGGCACTGCATGTGGTTCTGGGGATTGTACCTTGGTAACTGCGCTTTGCCTGAGCTTGCCTAAGCAGGTGCTTTAGACCACAGAGCTCTCGCGCTGGACCTCCCCCTTCCTCCTCAATGAAATTCTTATCACTCAGAATGGATGCCTTAGATTTTTTTTATAAATAATTTTATGGAGAAACAAATAACAATGAGAAAGTTTCAAAACTTATTTCAATTATCAGTTTCAATAATTAATACATTGCACATTGTTCTCTTAGTGGTTATTCATTGTACAAGATGCAGACATGATATCCTGTCCACAAACACTATTAAAACAAATCTCTCTATTCGCTGAATTAAGAGAATGCAGCTCTATATCTATCCTAACTATTTTGAGTATACAGATACAAAATGGTCGTTCATTTGTATCCCCCTTCCCTGTTCAGTTTTGTCAGATAAGGGTATTCCATTGTCCTTTAAATATTGAAGGTGCATGACTTCAGCAAAATATTCCAACATAATCTAGTAGTCCATAATGGAAGTGGATTTTCCATAAGACTGGCAATGTCAGAAGTTGTTATCTTGAGCCTTTTAAAGTTCAGCATATTAGTATGGCTTTACTTTTTATATGTTACTTTTATACTTTTCTGCTGGATGGTTAAGATCAAGATAAAGCAAGATCTATATAACAAGAAATGTCACTTTTGTCATTTTGATAAGGTCAGTCAAATCCACTTAGGACTTATCCTGTAACCCTGTACTGCACTTTGTAGATCCTTTGTCAGTGTCAGCCATGTGGATGAATCACAGCCAGTGCTTGACAATTTGCTCTCTGTGAAAGCCTGAGAGAATATTTTCTCTCCATGTGACTCTCCTTAGGCACACTCTACATCATTGATCACTTTCCTTTGTGGCCCCATAATCTCCTTGAGCAGAAAATTTTGGACACAACTGAGTTACATGATATTACAGTGCAGGTTCTCCTATGTCATGAGTCTTCACTGACCTGGAAAGGCTAGGGATGCCTTAGACTTGGACGAAATTTAGGATCTATGGACAAAACTTCAAAGATATGTATATAACAATAGTAGTACACTTAGAAACAATAGAGCTGAGAATCAGCTCCCTTTCACCATTTAATTCAAAACAGTATCCTACAGTTATTCCTGTTTCCATTGTCCTAAAAGAGCTAAGAAACAAAATAACAATAGCTTTGGAAATCACCAGTGCCATGTTCAGAGCATATGCACATTGGAGATTCAGTGAAAAGCACCTAAAGCAAAGATGTGATACCTCTAAATGCTGAAAGCCTGTAATTGAGCTCTTCTTGTTTTTTGGTTGCCCCTGGTACCTTCGACCTGTATGCAGGGCTTCTCTATTGCTCTAGCACCTTTTCTGATCTGTGTTATATGTTTGTTAGTGATATGGTGGAATGAAACTCTTAAACCTGACAGATACCTGGAAGAAGTTTGTGTTCTCTAAAACAAAAGAACAACAAAAATTTTAGGAAGAATGGAGGTTAAGAGCAGAATATTTTTTAGTGGCAGAAAAAAGCTTCTGTCAAAGAGAAGGACTGAAGGAGTCCCAAACAGGTTGCTCAGGAATGTGCTTTTTCTTGATATTTTTATGGAGCAAAGCCATGAGGTGAGATGGGTCTAAGGTTGAGTAAATGAAAACTTGCTAGGTAGTCATGAGGTGGTATAATACTATGGTCAGCCAATAAGATTGCAAGCATAATTGCGCAGGTAAAATTTAGTCCAGGACTAAATGGGGAAATGAGTCCCAAAGAATAGGGCATGAATGCAGAATAGGGCCTTTTATTGTAAGGGGCAGGGCTCATGATTCTTCCAGGAGTCCTCCAGGTGATAGAGACCTATTTAGAATACCAGCCCGGGATCCTTATCTTTAGGGAGGCATGCATTTATTTGATCTTTTGTTCTGAGTTCTGCCCCACTGTGGGAGTATCTGTCTCTCTCACAGTTGCAACGTGTCTTGTTTTCTATACTGGCTCCTTCTCAGGACATGGCCATGCCTAACTGCCTATATTAATATTTCTATTTAAGTCAGCTGCCTACAACATTAGCATGGACTGCATCCTGAGCACAACTTCCCATGATTTGGTTTCAGGAGAGAAATGTTTCCCTCAGGTGAACAGGAGTCTCGAGGTTTTCATCAGCTTTGATACAAGTAGCCAAATGCAAGGATGAGGGGACTTATGCAAGGTTTGTCTTTTCTTTCTTTCTTTTTTTCCTTGAATTTTTTATTGGTACATTTTATATATACATAGTGATAGCATTCATCATAGGGGAATTGTGCCTTGCTTCAAACAATAGTTTTAAACTTTTTTTAAAGATTTAAAATTTTCTGAATTTAGTTCAACTTATACTACCACATTTCCAAGAAAAATGAAACTTTTGCAAAGACATTTAAATAAAATCATACCAAGATGCACAAAAATGAAATTGTCCAAAACTTCTTGCAAAGAAAAAAATCATTAAAGAATATACACAAAAATATTAGCTATGGAAGAACAAAATTAAATAGCATCTTATTCCATATCAGAAAGAAAAAAAGGACCAAGGGTGTAAGAAACTAGATTAATTAAAGGACTGAAAGAAAATATGTTCTCTTTGAATTTTATACTTAGAAAACATAACTTTGAAAACTAAAAGTAAGATTTTCTAGTTATACAATCTTGAAATATTTTAATACCTCCAGAAGTGGCATATAAGAAATAACAGCATAATTCAAAAGGCAAGAGAAGTTGAGCTATGTTCCTGGATGAACAATAAAGAGCTCTCAGTATGATAGTTATGCAGGACTATATAAAAGATATATTAGATGAGGGCTGGTGAGATGGCTCCGTGGTCTAAAGCACCTACTTAGAACAAGCTTAGCAAAGCACATGGACCGCGGTTCAATCCCCCAGCACCACATGCTGGCCAGCCC